ATGTTGCACCACCTAAAGCATTCAGTCACTGCTCTCCCCTCAAGCTAGCCAAGCATATCAAGTGTGCCTGCAACACTCACAGCCTAATGAACAATGCACAAAAACAAAAGTAACAGCAAGACTCCTATTATCTGATCTTCCGTAAAACACAAAAACTGGCTTCTCTGGTACAGAGGAAGTGCCAGTAAGCCTGCAGGTGTGAGCCAGTTAAAAGAAAAGGCTTTGGCTAAATAGATTCTTTGACTGCCAGGGATTAGAGTCATGGCACCAGTGGTAACACACATCTTTTCCTTTAATTTACAAAATTTTCTCACGAGTTTGCAAGAGTTCACCCCAACAGGGGCTTTCTGAGGCCATTGAAATGTCTTAAGTTTTAATTAAGTTGGAGTTGTCAGAAGAAAGCTTTTTTGGCACAGAGTCAGGGTCATTAATTACTGCTATCTTTGTTTCTTTCAGAAAAAAGAACTCTACTGACTTGTTGAGTTACTTATAGAGTCTACATTTTCTTTCCTGCAGTCCTTATTCACCTCCAAGCAAGGCTTGATTAAGCAGTTTACCAATTACTTCCATCAATCTGATTTACAAATCCTATGGGTAATCTTAACTTCAGAAGCTTTTCCCTCTGCTGATTTGAGGTACAGTAGTAATGAAAGCAGCATTACTGTTAGAACCACCATCTAAATGGCACTTGAATCACATTCCTGATTTCATCATTATGTACCCATCCTCATATGTGCTTGTAGCTGGATTGTCAGTTATTAGCAGACACAAGCCGCAGTGCATAAAACTAAGCAGAATAAACATAATTTCATTGTTGTCTTGCAATTGTGAGGTAAAAGTACATGTTTTCTATAAGTCAAATAAATATCCGCAAATAAGCTAGCATTCAAATCACAGGTCATGGTATCTACATTTGATAATAGAAGAAAATTTATTTCCAAGTGCCATTTACCAAAAAATGTAAAAGTCCAGAATAATTAACTAAAATTGTTACCTCGTAAGAATTATTCACTGGCCTAAGTAAAGGCTAATTTGTAGACTTCGTTTCTACCCGATGCATTCACATCATAAAAAAGGCAACACCTTAGCTGACACTAATTTGTTGCTTCATCAGAGTTTCAGATATGGGGAATGCACTGACTCCCTCATTCCTAGAGATAATGGCTTTGAGGCTCAGTGTGAAATCTAATACTATATAGCAATATGCTGTATAACCATTCCACACATTCCTCTAAAACAAATACACTACAGTTTGATAGCCATATATTTTCAGTAAATTCTTGGGTTTATACACAGTATTTTGCATAAATACCATTACCATTATTAGAAAGCTTGATAACTATATATCTTTCTAAATACACCACTTGTTCATTTAAATGAAGTTTGATTTATCAAAATCCTCAAATTCCTTGAAGCCTGCAAAAGGCCTATGTTAAACTATATATTTTGTACTGTTTTTAATAAAAACATTGGCAAAATAATGTTTTTTCGGAAACCCTGACTTGGATTTCTGATTTATGGAGTATACTTTACCATTTTGAGCTATTCAGCTCAGCAAGTGGTTGTTCAGAGACTGCAAGACTTGAAATGTCTGTGGTGTAGTATAAATTATTTTGATCCTCCCTTGAGTATTTACTTAATTTCTCACCCATTTACTGTACTTCATATAAAATGGCAGAAGCAAGATAGAAACTATTAAAAAGTTAGGAACGCTACCCAGAACGTTAACCAGCTCTGGGAAGTTAAGATAGCTGCAACAGAGGCAAGCCACTGTTAAATAAACTACTTTGCTGTTATCCATGATGTATCTGCTATTACCTGTTTCCCAAATCCGATTAACAAAAATAACAATCTCATATAAATTATGGTAGCTATTTATTTGGTAAAGTACTGAAAACTGGTACTACAGAGAGATTACAAAACTGTGTTGAAACTTCTTATAACATAACCATCTCTTAATTTGTGGCATTTTATTTGTGACAATTTTATTGTGGCACTCATTGCCAAAGCATCACAGGATTGCATAAGTCCTTGTTACTGTCTTCACTTTTTTCACATTAGTTAAGATCATTTCTAACACCAAAAGCAATCCAGCTAATTTATTTATGTCTACAGGAGGAGTCTATATAGGGATACATAGCTGTCATCATATCCCTGGATTCCTTCTTTCCACATACAATCCCATTGTCACTACCTTGGCCAAAGTATGCCTACAACTGGTTGCTGAAGTGCTCTTGAAGTGAGAGGCTGGGAGAAACAAACCTCAGGGACATGGGGTCCCACCCTTACGTTTTTCAGACTGTAGCTACCACCAGTGTGAGTTATGGTACTTGCACCTACGGCACTAGGAATGGACACTTTATAACTTTGGACTGTTTTCTCTCTCCTCTAGTAAGGACTTTACCCAGATTTTTCAGAACTCCAGCTTACTTTTATTGTTTTTCTTCTGTAGTTGAACAATATCTTTAAAATCCATCTCTCTGTTTAAATAAATACACACAGAAATAAATACACTAATAGGAAAAGGCCTACCAGGCTGGCAGTGTCAAAGAGCCCTTTAAGAGGGTTACATGTTTTACTCTACAGCTAAATTGCAATTCTAGCCCCTTTTAGCCGTGATGAGAAATGGGAAAATTTAATAGTGCAGTTTTGATTTTAAATGCTGTGCGTGTGCACCAGCATATATGTTTTAAAAATTGGAAACCTTTACACAAACACAGTAACTCAAAAGC